CTCAGAAGTACGATTCTGAACCGTGAAAAACTCCTGGTACTCTATACTTATGGGGTGGTCAGCGTGTATGTGTGTGTTTATATGACGTTAATATGTGTTTGTGTGTTCTCTGTTTGTAACTCTGTGTACAGGATATAAGAAGCATGTGTGTGTGTGTGTGTGTGTGTGTGTCTATTCACGTCTGTGCCTGTTACGTAAATATTCATCATGAAGTCATTGTATGTATAAAAGAAATGCTAGACAGGGCTTGACATCGGTAAATCAATCAAGAGTGCGCTTGCACACGTGCGCGCACACACAGATGCAATTTCATGCAAACACAACACCACACATTCTGATTCACTGACGCCTGCAATAATCACACGAGTCATTGCTACACCAATAAAACGGTCCGTAACTCTGCTCACCTGGACTGTGAATGGACATGCACAGACTTACACACACACACTGTCTCCCTAAAAAAGAATAAAAATAAAAATGCAAACTTGGAGTTCAGGAAAACTAAATCACAATGGAAGCCCTCATTTCCCATGATCCAACAGTTGACTGTCCCACAATCTGTTTAAATAGACAGGGCATGCTGACAGTCTCTTTGGCATCTCTTTCAGCCCAGTGCACTGTTCCACTAAACTGGACCTTGTTGTAAGATCTCAGTGAGGATATAAAATAGCAGAAGGGACTCCTCTTTGCTGCATTTAAGCTACAAACCCATCTATTAAACCGTACCTTGAGTTAGACTGTGTAGGTGTCTGTTAATGTAATCAATCATATTACGAGAGCTTTACAGCGGTACATGGTTATTGCATTATCACAGTACTTAAGTATATCATTTTAAAGTGTGGAGAGAAAGAGAGAGAAGATAGAAGAAAGAGGGGGAGGAATAAGAGGGGAGAGTTAATGAGGTGCCGGGTGAAGATCATGTCAATGTGACCAGTCATAGAAACTGAAGCAGCAGAAGAGACTCCTGGAGATATCAAGAGTTGATTGTTCTGTATTTAAATTCTAAGCAGTGAGAATAAATTAGAAACTTTGGAAACTTTATATACTGTTAAACTAAAACTGAATGCAGCCTTTTTACGTTAACCTCTGCATTAAAGAGAATAACATAGCACGACTGTGTGCAAAACGTACCACAAATCACAGCTCTAGGAATTGTATTTTCAGACCAGATATTGACGTATGATACAGCAATCAATATTTCCTAGGACATTTGAGACATCACCCACGCTTTTATTAAATAACGATGTACTCGAAAAAATATTTTAAAAATGTTGAGATATGTCTAAAAGCAGCAGGTTTCCCAGTCTGGCTTCCCACAAAGCATACTAAGACTTTATATTTCACTGGGTAAATGATTTATACTCAGAGTTTGTATGAGGTTCTGGTCAGTGTGTTGCCAACAGTGGATGGCAGTCAGCACACCACCAAGCAGATAGGAGCATTAACCCGCACAGAAACTAAAGCCATGCAGAGTATGTCCATGTAAAAGAATTAATATAAATTTTAATGAACCCAATGGGGGGGGCAGCACGGTGGCAAGAAGGTCCTGAGTTCAATTCCACCATCAGGCCGGGGTCTTTCTGTGTGGAGTTTGCATGTTCTCCCCATGTTTGCGTGGGTTCTCCCCAGGTACTCCTGATTCCTCCCACAGTCCAAAGACATGCAGTTAGTGGGGATAGGTTAATTGGAAACACTAAATCACCCATAGGTGTGAATGCGGGAGTGAATGTAAGTGCGATTGGTTCTCTCCTGAAAAGGAAGCCGATGGATGGATGGACATTATTTCGGACTCTTTCATTGCTTTTCAAGATCAGGGACATGATTGGAGAGCACACTGTATAATATGCCTTAAAAGCTCAATGGGACAACAATGTATTTAGACATTTTTAACAATGTGATAAGGTGGTGCAAGCTGAGAAATATCCACACAATCATTTTCGCCATTCATTCATGTTGTGGTCACATTTTTACAGTTTTAGAGGGAAATTAACTATTTTTCCATTATATTGTTATTTTTTGCTGTTTTGATGAAACTATAACGCAGCCACATGAGGTGGCTGAAAACGTAAATGAATAAAACTGAATGAACATAACTTTTATGAGGCATTGTGCACGTTTACGTACACCGCGTGACAGGACAGAAACACAAAATGTAACCAAATGTAACAGCTTAAATTTTTTTCTGTTAGATGGAGAGAAAGACTTCTTCTTACTTCATCTCCAGGACCTCTTCCAGGTGCTTCCGCCTCTCGGCCCGCAGCGAAGTCAGGTGACCCTCCTTCTCAGCCAGTGAGAGTTGAGTTGATGACAGCTTGGCTTTCATCACCTCCAGTTCCTGTTTCACCTTCTCCATAGCAACCAGCAGGTCCTCCACCTGACACGTACAAGTTAACACAGTGTAAATATTTTGGCTCATTTTTTTTTCCTCGCCTTTCCTTTCTTTTTTTTTTGCACAAATTAGTCTTTATGTCTTCGAGCGTGTCGTCTATTACGGTGCATATGTGACCTACTGTGTGTTGATTTTCCTCCTCCTTGTTTTCCTTCCCCTGTCTCAGTTGTTTCTCTTTCTCCCGCTCTTCTCTGATACATATTCTGTGTCCCACTCTCTCACTGGGCATATATCAGTTTGTCAGTTTAATGTGAGTGAGGTCAGTGTGGATTTCTCTCAACAACGTAACCACTACACACACACAAGCACACACATTTTCTCTTTGGAAACCTTTTTCTTTCCTTTCCTAGTTATATACTACACACCTCTAAAGTTTTAAATTAGCATAAATTTGTCTTGCATCGTTGTTTTTCTGAATGCTTAAAGACAAACAGTGAACTTGAAGCACTGTCTCTGAGACCTTACGGCCAAATCAATGTGCAGTCTCTGCTTTATACTGAGATTGTAATTTAATAACATATTTATTTATTTTGCAAAACACAACTCACAGCTTTACAGTCGGATACGGCACCCTGGATAGTACTTTAAACACTGCTGAGCTCAGACAATATTACATGCCATGTGGAAGAAGTTCTTCTGACCTGAACCACAAAGACAGTGAGATCTTCTCTTCTTATTTCCCCTTAGTTTTATTTAGATAGCCATGTTATGTATACACATCCGATCTTTACATGTTTGGATATCTTTACTAAATCTATGGAGCCACGCATACACACAGACAGCCAAACAAAGTGTTGCTTTCACAAGATGAATGAATGTGTCTGTTTCGGCTACAGATGTTTATTTGTAGATGTGTATGAATGGTTTAGGTTGCATACATGGATTCTGAACGTCAGATTAGCTTGTAAAGAAAGATGTCTCAAACATTTCTGCAAACAAGTCACCATAAAGAAATGCATGTTATGACTGATATTTATAATGGGATTCAGCATCTTCTCCACCACCACTATGATCTTAATTTCTGGCTCATTCTCTCCTTTCGTCTCTCTCCAGAGCACTGACGGTGATGCAGAAAGGCAGAGTTCAGAAAGTTGTTCTCTGTTGTTTTCTCATTAATATTGTGATACATTTGTGTACACCGGTGTCAGGTTCAGGAGATCGAAACAAAGGTAATCAAAGTCTGTGGCTTTATTCCTGTCCTTGGGAAAGATACAGACTTAAAGGCTGTATGTGTCATCGATGTGCAGGTTTGTGATAGTGATTCTGGTTTGTAGTATGAAGGACTTGTAGTGATCAATAAAGTTAGAAAAGCTTTGCATAAGTACATTAAGATTTAATTTGCAATTAAGAACACACTGGTGATGGAATGAGAACGGAAAAATAAGACGGGAACTGAGACAAAAAAACAGAAAAACAGAGAAAAAAGAAAAGGCATAGTGTTAGTTCAGGCAGGCCACAAAGTCAAGCTTAGCTGAAGTCCCAGCACATTAGCTGACGCACCCTCAGCAGCTGAAGGCTCAGCTGACACTCTTAAAGATTCCCTCCCAATCCATTCCCTGCATTATGCCTAAATGGCTTTCAATGTATGCCAGTACAACATAATTCCTCCACATTAGAAGGAAGTGACAAACTTCTTTTGACTGAAGTGGCCCTGACTGAAATATGTCTCTTCATATCCAAACCCATATAAGGCCACTGAAAAAAGAAAACTAATTCATAGTGTACCGTATGCATGCCCCAAAACATTTCTACCAATTAACAAATCAAAGTCTTATCAATACAATACTACTTTTTTCACTTTCCATCAAAGTTGCATCTGTTATCTCATCAAAATGAACAGATCCAATAAAAGCTTTTGTTAAATGGCTTTTTAAAAATTATTTACAACTTACTGTAAAAAATTAAGGAAATATAATAAAAAAAATTAAAATGAAAAGATGAACAAATGTAGAAAGCAGACGAGCAAGGTATGGGATGATTGTTTGTTACCTTTGACCACCTAAATCCGCTTGTGATGAACTCATGCATTGGAATGTGAGAGAGCTGCATACAAAATAACAGAGAAAGAGATGTGAGAAGAGGGAATGACAACAGTGAAGGAGGTGGAGACGGACATAAGGATGTAAAATGGGAGTAAAGGAATTGCTAGAGGAAAGGCGGAGAATACAAAGGGTAATGAAAAGATAG